CCTAAGAAATTAGAGAAGCCAACAAGATGAATGACCTCCAGGCAGGGGCACAGACCATGGACACCATGTGCATGTGCACATGCACCTATGAGCATCGACTAGTTGGTGGTGAGACGCATTTTTGTTTTGTTTCCATTTACTATCCTTTCAGGTGCTAATGATGGCAAGATCACTGAGAAGAAAACATGTGGAGACAAAAACTGAGGAAAAGTATGTTTGTCATCACTTCTACTTGATGCCACCTCCAAACCTGTTTGTCCCCTGAAGCCTAACCACCTGAAGTAGAACCCAACCTGTAATGGTTGATGCTCAAAGGCTATTCATTAATTTTACTAAATGTCTGTTTAATGTTTTTCTTTTAAAATAAACAACTGTTTCTGAATCTGGCAACGGTACTTTATGTGGAAATTTCTTTTCTGGCATTTGCCTTTGAGATTAATTTGGTCTTTGCTTCTACTGAATCTACCCCATCTAGTCACGTTTTTACCTTAGCATGTATAATATCATGATCAACATGCTACGGCTAGGTGTCTCTCTAGCTAAAATCCAATTCTGGGGAAAATGCAAACCATCTGCCACAGGTATTTAGTTAAGCACCGCAATCATGTAAGGACTAGGCAAACCTGACTGTGAATCTGATGCCGGTCTTTAACATGGCTTCAGGTTTTGCAAAACTATTACATGACCTCCAGGCTGGCTTTAGTTCAAATTCCAATAATCTCAAATACTCCAAATTATTTATTTCTCTGCAATGGGTCATAAAATCAGACATTAACATCCTGAGATGAATTACACTTGAATCCATTAATCCATTTATAATTGAAAGAGGATATGGTTAGTGATACTTTTTGAAAGTGCCCATCTCTAGAAAGAAAGCAGAAATAGGTTATATGATCATTTATTTAAAAATGGAATTGGTGCTTTATTAAGGCTAAAGACATCTGATCCACTATTGTCTTCAAGCTTCTGCCAAGGCAACATTATAATGATCATAGATGGTCCTTCGGGAGATGGTATCACTGACTCAGGAAGGAAAAATCAGTCTATTTGCAGCTCAGATTTCTCAGCAACAAAGAATACTTTTGTTAGAATTCAAAAGCCATTTCCTTTAAACACTACCTTTTTTCCTTTTCAAATTCAGCAATTTCTCCCCAAACCCAAAGTTTTTTATATTTCTTTTTAAAGACTTATAACCCATTTTTATGACCTTTTCTAAAATGATAATCCTTTTTTTTTTCCTGTCCTAGGACGCTTCATGTTTAAATAGAAATAAATGTTTATGGTGGCAGAAATACTAAATTGAGATTATAAAAATAAAGACCAATGCAGTAAGCTCCGAGGCCTCTGCCCGGGACTGTGGAGGGAAACCTGTGCGGATGGTCCGTGATGGGGGAGAACGGCCGTCACCTTTCCTGGCTCCTCAGTCAGCTAGTGGCTCTGCAGAAACCTCAGGCATCCCTGAGAGTCCTACTCACACCTATGCGTGAACGTAAGAATCCCTAAAACAGGGCCCCTGATGCTAGCCTCGGTGATAAAATAGGGTAATGTGTTCAATAATATCCTCAAGCTGAGTTCTTGGTCTCTGGAAGGAGATAACTTCCGTATTAAATCTTCAGAAATAAGGGCTTGTGAGCAAAAGTTGGTTGATTTTTTTATTCAATAAAACCGTGCCCAAAGGCCTCCTTCCCCTCTTCAGTGGTCACCTTTCAACACCCATATCCCTCCGGGACTCCTCTCCACTCCGGCCCTGCTCCTGGCACAAGCAACCAGTTATGTACATATTCAGGTTTTATCATAGTCTGAGGGGCACTTTTGGTGAGAACCATGATTTGAAGCAATTGAGAAACTCATTAAAGCAGTTGGCTGGAGATTTAAAACATTCAGCTATTCCTTCTAAATGCTCATATCACCACCTACTGTTTTTATCAGGGAAGTAGATCTGGGCTTGCAAGGCTGGTCAGCGTCTCTGAGGCACTCTGGCTGCAACTCCTGTAGCTGTGCACCAGGCAGTGGGCCCGGCAGAGAACGCAGGGAAATACTTTTCTTACCCTTAATGCATGATGTTTATTTAAACAAAATTTATTAAATAGAATATTAAGTACATAATACAAAAAGAGTCCTTAAATATGGTAAAAATCATAATGATGGTGGCAAATGACTGTCTTTTGGTAACAGATCCAAGGAGCCCATGCATCTTTTATGCTCAATATCACTAATTCATCAGAGAAATGCAGATTAATATCATAATGAGATATCACCTCACACCTGTCAGAATGGCTGTCATCAATAAGTCAACAAACAACAGGTGCTGAAGAGGATGTGGAGAAAAGGGAACCCTCATGCACTGTGGTGGAAGTGCAGACTGGTGCAGCTGCTGGAAAACAGTATGGAGGTTCCTCAAAACATTAAAACTGGAACTGCCTTTTGACCCAGTGATTCCACTTCTGGATATGTATCGGAAGAAACCTAAAACACTGATGCAAGATAATATATGCATCTCTATGTTCATTGCAACATTATTTACAATAGCCAAGATAAGGAAGCAACCCAAGTGCCCAACAATAGATGAATAGGAAAAAAACCCTAGAAGGGTGTGTGTGTGTGTGTGTGTGTGTGTGTGTGTGTGTGTGTGTGTAATGGAATATTACTGAGCCATTAAAAAAGAAGGAAATCTCTTACCATTTGCGACAGCATAGACGGACCTAGAGGGCATTATGCTAAGTGAAATAAGTCAGACAGAGGAAGACATGTATTATATGATTTCACTTATATGTGGAATCTAAAGAGCAAAATAAATGAACAAACAAAATAGAAACAGACTCAGAAATACAGAGATCAGATCATTGGTTGCCAGAGGAGAGGTGGGTTGGAAGGGCAAGGTGAAAAATGTAAAGAGATTAAGAAGTACAAATTGGTAGTCACAAAATAGTCATGGGGACGTAAAGTACAGCACAGAGAATATAATCAATAATATTGTCTTAACTATGTGTGGTGCCAGTTGTGTACTTGAAATATCAGGGGATCTTTTGGAACAGGGGAAAAGTATGTGATTGTCTATCCACTATGCTGTACAACTGAAACTAATACAAAATAATATTGAATTTAAACTGTAATTGACAAATAAAATTTTAAAAATACAAAAGGGCATCTTTTAATTTCAGTTAATTATGTCATCGCCTATTGTATTTCTTTTACCTCTTATTTGGAAGTAACTGATGGACATGAAATAATTTGTATTAATTATCCATAAATTAAAGAATGAAGTGCAAAAAAGTGAGTAATGTCTCTAGGCATTTTCTTAATAATAGATTGTGCATATTATTATATTGCAAGATCAAGATGGGTCATATAATAAAATCAGATACACACTTTGGGTAAACCGAGTTACTAAATACTGCCTGTTTGTCAAGAAGTCCTTTCAAGATACTTGTCCCCTAATGGTGACCACACAGGAGGCAGATAAAAGGACTGCAGAGGAGACATGAGGAGCAATTTGGACATCACCAAATTTGAGAGTGGCATTCTCCCGGAGCAGCTCACCTAAATTCCTCAGCAATAAAACAGTGGGTTTATTCTTACAACTCTTCCGTTATCTGGGGGACACTCCCTGGGCACCGTCCACTGAGTGTAACTACCCAGAGAGTAAGGAGCCAGGCCATGGCTCTCTCGGGCACCCCGGCGTGGGTGACTGCAGCCGCAGCGGTGCCTTGTGTCTTACCCAGCTGTGTGTCCTGGGGGCTAGCTATTAAACGCCCCTGGGCCTCCGCCTCTCCTCCTATAAATTGGGGGCAATAATATTTTCAAAAGTTGTGAGGATTAAGCATGAATTTTTTAAGGTGCTTCACACATGTAAATACCTTAGGACATAGTAATTTTTATTTTATCTTAAACGCCATAAACAGTGGAATAACAACTGCTCTCCTGACTATCTCAGAGATTGTTGGGAGAAGAATTCACATGAAAAAACAGTGTAAAGCCCTATATAAACACTACCAGTTTCAACTTCTAGGCAATCAGTTAGTATGGATTGCAACAGTTCTGCACTATCAGAGAGCTAAACAGAGACAAGAGTGTAATCTATTAAACAATTGCAAACAAATTGCTGCTTTTTCCATCTAAAAAGTCCCAGGCTGGTCAATGGAAATAAATCCACCTAAGCCTTACTCAATAGTAGTACTTCTTAATTTACTGGAAACTGCTTTCCAAGTTACTAATTTTAAAGCCACCAATATAAGTTGGCGATGAATAATTTAAGGATGTTACATTAGAGTGGGTAGACTTTGGGAGAAGTCTTTATGGCTTGGGGTTTCTTCCATTTTAACTTAATGGATGTGGACACATATTGGTCCTGAGCATTGGGTTCTTAAAGGTTTTCTGCATTCTGACCCTAAGGAGATTAGTTTAAAGAACTCAAGGGCTTGGGTATGAACACAAGAGGACTCCCCATCGCTGAGACGGGGAGTCTGTCCTCTAAAGAGAGTTTTCTTTCAGAAAGTGAGTTCTTTCTGAATTACGTTATACAGGGTTCCCAAAATTTAAAATTTATCCTATTGAATTTGAGGGAGACTGCTTTTTCCCCCCTCCAGTGCTACTGCAGTTCACCAGATGATATCTGTACTGGCAGTTAGTATACCTCTTCACAATGACAACTGCCTAAAAAACATGCCCCTTTACTTGTTTTCAGCTGCAACAAACACTAACATAGTTATATGTCTGACAAAAACATGAGTTAAGCCAGATACAGAAGTTTGTTTAGATTTATTCCAAGAAAGCTTTTTCCTTTCTAATCAGTTTTAATCCCTCTCACTTGTATCTCCCCTCAGTGAAACTTGAAACTCTCTGCAGCCTGGAATGTGCTTTTGAATATTTTCGTTTTCCATCAAAATGCTCACCGCCCAAGAGTACCCTGCACATAACTAAGGATCAAAAAATGTTTTCTGAGTGAATTTATTTAGTCTTTGGAACAATGTCTTTTGTAGCGAAATTTCCGTTGAAAACCTCTACTTAAGAGTTGTTTCATTCTCCTGAATAATAAAATTAGAAGGTGTTTTCTTTCTTTCTGGCAGAATAAAATCTGCATGTCCTGGTGAAAGGTTAGGAAATGTATAATTGATGTATTTTTGAAATGCCTCTCTCGTTTCTTGTAATTCTTCCTCCAGGAAATCTTTCCAATTTGTCATAATTCCCAGTTGTTCTGCTACCGACAGCAGCTCCGCCTGAGTGTTAACCAGTTTATCCACCACATTTCCAAGTGTGACCTGATGTGTTTTCTCTGCTTCTTGAAGCACTTCTTGGACTTCTTCTTGCTTCTGCCTCTGAGCCATGCAGTAGTAGATGTTCATTTCACGTTCTTTTTCCTTTACCAACCGGCTCACACTCTTCTTCTGATCCTTAATAACTGTCACACCACTATTCAAAAGTTCTTCCACGGCCTTGCTGCAAGAGACAATAGAGGTTTATAAGTTAGATGGATTAGCCACTAAAAACAAAGAGATTTTTGTCTTTCACCATGGATAGATGAGAATTTATTGCATTGTTTAGGTGAGACACCAGGCTGAGGCAGGCTGGTAGAGATGAGCTTTTGTATTGCAACAGCTGTTAACAATCAAAAAACATTTTTCAGAGCACGGAGGTTGCCCATCAACTTCCCTGCTGTGGGCTAAGGAGAGGCCACCTGTCTAGTGTCTGACAGTAACTTTAGGAACCTGACTCCACCCGTGGCCAGAAAAATATGAACACAGTGTGCTTAAAAATGAAGAAACAGGGTCGGAGTTCCAAACCCCTCGAGAGAGTGTTTCTGTATATCATTCCAGCTACTTACCTTTAGCCAGAGGGGAAAAACTCACAGGCTGACATAAGCTACCAATAAATCCATTCCATTTTAACATGACTTTTATGAAAATGGAGCCCCGCAAAGGGGTCTCAGGGACACTTTGAGAATCACTGCTGAATGAGTTCACAGACCTGTGGTTAAACATATGTAATTATGTATCATTTATAGCAACCAACTGCATTGCCATGTGCCAGGCAGGTGAATGAGCATTCCAAGCATAGATTAACTCAATGATTCCTTAAAACAACTCCATAGGTGGGCCCACTATTATGCCTACTTTACTGATCAGGTAACACACTCACAGAGAGCAAGTAACTCGCCCAATATCGCTTAATTAGTGAAAATGGCAAAATAAGTACCGAAATGCAGGCGGTCTGAGTACAGCAGCTCTTAGCCACTGTGATGCTCTTCTGATGGATGTCTCTGGTTAACTTAGTTCAGTAGAAACTCTAAGGATTTGAGAACTTCAAAAAGACCTACAAATGTTGGATTCAAACATTTAGGATTGTTAAGAAAAATCCTCCCCCTCTGCCTCCTTGTCTAATACAGTCTTTTCAAGACTTACCACCTTGTTTTTCTTCTAAATTCTACCCTCCAAGATGCAATTCTCTCATTGTCACTGATCCTTTCAACTTGACTTTCAAACCTGACAGATTTCCCCAGTCTTGAAATACACATAATTTGTTCTTAGCCTCTCTAGCTGCTATATTATTTCTCTCCTTTTCCCACCAACTAGGCTATATCCACTATTAATAACAAAGGTTAGCATTTATTGAGTATTTACTGTGTCCCAGGGACTATGCTAGGCATTCTACATGCATTACATCTCGTTCAATTTTAACGCTAACCCACTGAAGCTGGCATGATTTTTATTTATTACCTCTTATTATTCCCATGTAAAAACAGGCAAGGAAATTAAGGCTTAGAGAGATCTAATTATTGTTCAATGTCACACAGTTGAGAGAGTGGGACAGTTCCTGCCCTTCACCATTACCTGCTTCAATCTTGTCCGAGGTCACTATAAATTTTTTATCGGGGGTAATACAGTAAAAATGCTGTTTTAGAATTGTTACTCTGGCAATGTTGGGTAAATTCAATCTTAGTAGGGTAAAATAGAGGGACTTTTTGTAATATTCTGGGTGTGCAAAGATTAGGGTCTGAACTCATCATGAAAGAGAAAGAAATAGGAAGAGAGAAAGGGATAAATCCAAGAAATATTACAAAGTCCCAAGTGCCAGAATTTATGACTGCCAGGAGACCGTGGAGGCAGAAAGAAGAGGAATCCAAACCTACTTCCCGATTCTCAGCCTGGGTCACAGGAGAATGGACGTGCCATTAAGAAAAGTGATGCCATTGAAAAACTAGCAGTCCCTCCATCACTTGTCACATGTGGCGTTTATTGAGTAAGTGCGGTCCTCGCCCCAGGGTGTTGGGAGACGTAGTTAACACAAAAGAGCTAGGACGTGCTTCCAGGACAAAAGTGAATTTCATTGTAAGCAAGCTATAAAAGGTCATGAAAATCCTTTGGAAAGTTTTCTTGCAGTTAATAATTTATCTGCTCAGATTTCTAACTTGGATATCTTAGAAAATCTGCTGCTATGTATTAAGAGGTCATGTATAAGAATTTGGTGTATTTAATACAGTGTTTTGACAGACAAGTTTCTTATCTGCAAGAGGGATCAGGCCATTCATTGGAAGATATTGAATTGATTAAATGATTAATAAAAGCATAGTATGTAGTAAAAAATAAAAAAAAAGAATAAGTGATAGCACGAATAGAGTTGGAAGTGTCATCTACATACATCCTCCGGATTTAGTCTGATGTTTTATGAAATCTTCAGTATGGGGTGGGGCTGTGAAGGTGATAACCAGGGCCTCTGGGGCTCAGACATAAGGAACTGGAAGGAAGCTTCCCTGAGCCAGCCCTAAATCCCCAAGACAGGCCTAGCTACTGTTCTCCAGAACCACAGCTCTGGGATGAGCAGGCCGGACTTCGTGCCAGGTTGGCCCGGCTTTCTCCTGGTTCATACCGAGCAGGTGGTCATCTACGGGGCTGACGAGAAGGCTCCACCAGAGATGACCCACGTAAAACTGCTCAAATAAAGTACATTTTAGATGACTCCAATTCCTACCCTCCATGATGTAGCCCCCTTTAAACTCCTTACTATCAAAATCTGTTCTGGCTGAGAGAATCTGTTTTTGTTTTGTTTTGTTTTGTTTTGGAATGCCCTTTAAAACTTTTTCCAGCCTGCTTAAGAGCCTGAATTTTTGATCTTTTGCGATTCACTCCTTTCAGTTTAACATCTGGAAGTCTTTGACCTTTATTCTGATGATTTCTTTGAAGTTGTGGAATTGAAGCCAGCTGAGAGGTGGTGCAGGGGTGGAGGGCGTGGGGAGCGTGGGAGCAGACGGCGGGAGTGCCCACGGGTCTTTGTATCTCCCTTGCCTGGCACGGTGCCCGTGTGTATTAAACAGGCAACCAATAGATGTATGAATGAATAAATGGGTAATATAGATGTAGTTCCCCCCCAATGCTTTTTTTGGTGCTAAATAACACCAAGTTTTAAAACAGCATTACACAAGCCCAAAAGAATTTATGCTTAAAAGGATTCTCCGCATTAACAAAATACTCACCGTAAGAAAATACTCAATTCTTGTAGTATATCTAAAATATTCTTTGATTTCTACTAATTCCACATTTTTTCCCCAAACGTGGTCCTAGAAATCATATATGAGGAAAGACTGAAGCAAGTAGTTTATTAGTACTTTTTGTTTTTTTCTTCTTCATACAAAAACTTGGGACAATATCTCCTCAAATGTCTGGAGGATCACTGTGCATAGAGGAGAGATTCTCACATTTTGGATCCACTTTACGAAGTACATGACAGGTAGAGGCATTCAGCTTTTGAACCAACCACCTCAACCAGTCATAAAATTCCTGTCATGGAAATACTTAGAAGGCTCACCAACCCTTTGCAGGCATCCAGCAGAAGGGATGGCAGGTTCAACTTGCAATGCCCCTTCCAAAGTGAGGTGAATGTCTACGCTTCTTTGTGTAAGTGGTGAGGTCCACCTGCCATCTCTCACTTTATGAGGCTATAGCCTAGGAATTTTGAAATACACACAATATCTAAGAGTAGTGCTGAATGTAAACTGAACTATTTTCAAAATAACTATAGTCTGTACATATATATCTATAGAATTCAGTCTGACATTTTATAAGATGGGGTCTCAGAATAAAAATACATTATTAAACAAAAATATAATCTAATATATAATAATCCAACCTTGCTATGCTCTTGGGGGGAAAATATAAAGCATGGGCCATTCACCTTTGGCCATTGATTTGTCCTTTGCTCCCTTAGGGCCTCTCTTAGCTCTTTCTCACTCTTTTTGGAAGGCTTTTGACATGGTGCAAGATACATCGCTCATGGGTTTAAAGAAAACTATTAATGGCCATTCGTCCCCTTCTACCTCATAAGTGAACTCTTCATTTTCCCCATGTATGTTGCTAACGGTGTACTTTTCAACCTCCTTTCTGTGTCCCTCCATTAAAATCTTGGAGCCAAAAACAGTAAGAACTAACACTTCATTTCCCCACAGACTATTCTTAAATTATGAAGGGATTTGTATCCAAAATTCATTTGTACATTAAGTGTTTAGAGCAATGGTGAACATAGCAGATCGTTTGCCTGAGGAGCCCGCAATAAGCTATTAATCTATTTTCACCTGAACTACAGGACTGTTTGCACTCATTTAATCAGTTATAACCATTGTGTTTATAAGGAGAATACATTCTGATTTTCTGCCTGACAACCTGGGAACCGAGTGCCCCGGTCTGGCAGGAGGATCAGTGATACCCCCGAGCAGGGGCTGCAGGCATTATACAGGTTAAAGCAGGTGGGGGGCGGGCATCTACAGAGGCCAACCTCCAGCAGCGCACTCCTACCTCAGGGGTGTAAGTATTCTCGGCCTTCCCTTGGCTCCGCCTCATTATACACCCACCTTCTGCCTCCATGTTTGTTCATGCTGTTCTCACTCTTTTCAGTCTTTTACAAATTGGGGCCTCCTCCCTTCTCTCTAAGGCCCAACCCAAGACTGACTTCCCCCAAGTAACCTACCTACCTCAGCACACAGCCCTCACTCTCTATTAGCTTGATGTTTCCAGGACTTCGAGCTCTTCTAGCACCTACGTGTTCTTTGTACCAGTCCATCTAGCCCTGCTCATATGGGGCAGCCATGCTTAAGTTACTTCACATAATACTGAGAAAACACCCTTCTTTCTTTGTGCCAGAGCTCAGGCCCTCATCCACAGAAGGCACTTCCATGGTGAAGTGAGCCAGGTAGTGTAATGGAAGGTCATTGGCATCATGCAGACCAGGGTTCACACTGGGCCCTGCCACCTCCTCTCCACATGACCCTTGGCAGGTTACTCAGTCTCTCTCTAAGACTCAGCATCTTCACCTAGGATGTGAGGGATGATAGAATCCCCCAGGAAGGGATATGAGGGTTCAACAAGAGGCATACAAAGGGCCTTGCATGTGCCGGAAATTGAATAGGTAGCTATCACTGGAATTATAGCCACCGCCACAAAAATCTCTGAGCAGTCGCTTCATTTATGCCTTTGCCTTGGGCTAGGAAACACTTAGAACTTTTCCAAGCAAAGATGTTACTGTCTTTTTTTTTTTTTTTAACTTCTGAAATAGTACACTATCTCCTAGATAATTTGTTTAGAATCTAATCACCTCAATCCACAAAAAAGTTTTCTGTGCATTTAACAAATGTGTCATAATATGTAAACGTTCTGAGTCCTTAAGCCTTAAGTAGACAGCCAAATAAATGGTCTATAGGCAGAATTCTAAACAGTGGTCCTTCTGTATATATTAGTGTCTACAAATGCTCTAAAGAACACTGGAATCTAGCAATGTCTAGAAATAAGATCTGGTGTGCTGCAGAGGGGGTTCAGCTGACTGAACACATGTGAACATTTGTTTAATAAATATTTAAAGAATGGCTACCATGGTGCCGGGCTCTCTTCCAGGCAATTGGAACACATCAATGAACAAAACTGACATTCTAGTCGGATACACTTAAACAACAGGCATGGAAGTTCCCTAATCTTAGTCAACTAACTCAATAAAAGGGGGCCATTGAATATCTTTCATTCAAACCTTACAAAGAAAATGGAGGGGGAAGGGTGGAGGCCATGGAGTGAGGGAAGGAGCAGAAGGAGCAGGTGTGTGAAGAGCGGGCCCAGAGGTTCCTGCAGGTCGGACCAGCTCCCACGCACGGAGGGTGGGAGGAGCTGGCAGAGGAGGATACCACTTAGCACTGCAGCAGGCCACACTCATCTGGTAGGTGCCACCTGCTCTAACTTGCTCCCGGAAAGCTCTCTTCACCGTCCTCTTCTACCTCCACAAGGATTTATCTCCTGTGCTAGAAGGGAGGTACCCACTGAAACAGCCACAGCTGCAGCCCTCGTTCTTATTTACCTGCAAAATAAGAATCCTACAGGATTTTACTTTTGGCCCTGTTCTAAACAAACCTAACAAGGAAGATTTTACCTGTTAATTATATACAAGCAGATTTGTTAACTCAAGGAATAAAGCAAAAGAGGTAAGTCCTAGACCAGGAGGACAGATACAGAGGTTTCACTCTTATTCTGCTGCTATAATTAAAGGATCTTAGGCACGTCATTTAACATGTGGACAGTCATTCTCTCTTGGCCCTGATAATCAATATGGCTCCTTACTAATGTGTTGTTAAAATTAGCTAATTCCATCAAATGTTCATTACTACATAAAAATGGTTACTTTCTAAAAAATCCTTGCCCAAAGATACATTTATTGATTTTGGAGAGAGAGGAAGGGAGAAAGAAAGAGAAACATTGGTTGCCTCCAGTACATGCCTGGACCAGGAACCGAACCCACAACTTAGGCATGTACCCTGACTGGGAATTGAACCTGTGACCTTCTGGTGCACAGGACAATACTCCAACTAACAGAGCCACACCAGCCAGGGCTACTTTGGTATTCTTAACTTTTTTACATATTGTATATGATCTGATTTGTGTAAAAATGATTTGTGATTGTACACATATACAAGGTTGCAAATACATCAAAAGGGCATGGAAAGATACAGACCCCATTATTTACAATGATTGTCTCTGAGAAACAGGGAGGGGCAGGGAAGCAGTGCATCGGGACTCAGCAACTTTTGCTCTCTGTATTTTCATAATGTCGATTTCATTTACAGCATGCATTACTTGTGCAATTAAAAAAAAAAAAAGACCAAAAAGTAACACACCCACAATAGTGTATGTTATAGGCTAAAAAATATGAAGTTTGACTTTTATGTGTTTGTGGAAAAAATAATATTTCTTAATTCCTCTCTTCTGCCTCTTAAAACTAGAGATACAGAATGAAAATATTTAAAACAGTAGTAGAGAGGCAGGAGAGGAAGAAAATGTGACTGAGGAAGCACACATAGAGCTTCAGAAGTGTCACCAGTTTTCAACCCCTTTAGATGGGCGGTAGGTCCTTGAGTATGCATGTTGCTATTTTTTAAACCACACACATACGTGCACACACTCTATAACACATTGTGCATTGTTCTCTGTGTCTGATATATTCCATAATGTAAAAACACAAAAACTGGGAAATATCCAACCATGTATTGACTCAGTCTTATCCATTTCTCCAAGTTAATTTTGACAGAGTGAGATACTAATTTGCAAATGTGCTCTCTGGAATACCTTCTCTGGGCCTCGATTGCTTCCTGGGCCTTACGTCTCTCTTCGGCCCTGGCTTTTTCCACAGCCTGGATTTTCTCCTTGTGGCACTCCATCATGATTCTTTGGATTCTATGGACCATACGTTGTTCTGCAGCCAAGTTTTCTCTCTTTAGTTCTTCTTCTATGTTTTGCTGCATCTCTGTCTTGGATTTAGCTGTCATTTCCTTAAGCAACAGTAAAACTAGGTTTAGATGTTACAGCTTTGATGTTTAACAACCTGATGAAATGTGCACCTGCAAACACAGATAGTTTAAAAAAACAGCAGGCCTAATATGGAAAACTTTCATTTGTATGATGCTAGGTAAAACCAGAAACATGCAAACTATATAGCATAAGTGCTTATATGAACAATTTTGAAAGGGAATATGCAGAAAGGGAAAATAGTTGAACTACAGTAATCTTTTCCTTGATTGTGCAAATATTCTATAGGGTTGTTTTATCTTTATACATAATTAGAAATACATACTATGATTCTACTTCAGGAAGTAAGCCATGGGAAATGGCAGCAATAATAACTATGTCTCCTGAATGTCTCATGCAGTCAACAGTTGAACATTTCTGCGGCCACAGGAACCTGCCTGCCTGTCCCCACTGTCATTAGTGTTGAGGGGTTTCTCATTCGCTGAAGGAACAGGAAAAAGTTTTCACTGCTCTGGGATAGAAGAACCTGTGGATGCCATTGGCCAAATAGAGAGAGAAGGCACAAGTCAAACAGGACTCCCGGAGACCAGACCCTCACAAAAACCCCTGCCACTGTGCAGGGAACACTGCTCACTCTTGGGGGCGGCAGGCACTCTGCTGGGCCCAGCTGCTGCAGGCTGTGCAAGGAGTGGTTTAGTAGAAATACATACAAAAAAGAAGGAGCAATGAATCCTGTCTAGGGGTTTCAAATCTTTCATTTAAAGGTAAATTTTAATCTTTGTTGTAGGTATAATGAGAGAACATAAAGAAATTAAATTATTTCATATAGTGAGTCAGTGGAAGAACTAGGAAGAGAAACCAGGACTCTCGACACCAGCCTCTCATTTCATTGTTGGCTGTGTTGCTAGTGTTTTTCACAAGATTCATCAAATTATTTTCATTCCGGAAATCCTGTAGTCTTATGAGATAGTACAGTGAGCTCTCTCTATCTCATTAAGTTTCAAGTAAAACTGAAGTCACTTTAGCTTTTTAGGAAAAAAAAAAATGTTCCAAACAATTAAATATTTGTTAGACTTCAACTTTTTCAAGAGAAAGAAAATTTTCATCTTCTCACTTTAGCTACTCCAATGGCAAAATAAATAAATTAATTAATTAATAAATAAATTAATTAATTAAAAAGAAAAAAGAAAAAGACAACAGAAATCAACTTTAAGAATCAATCTATCCAGAGCAGCCTCAGTTCATGTACTTAGAAAATCTTTTTTTTTTAAACATTGGCTATTTAGAAATGATTTGTCTCTTAAAGAACTTTTTGATAATAAAATATTTTGAAGAAAAATATAGCTAAATGTCTTCAACAGTTATACTTCATTAAAAGGATATAGTGAGCACACTTTAACATTTCTTGATGTCCAGGGCTAGTAGGTAATGATGAATGATTGCACTCGGCTAAATACTCTATACTGCAATTTTACAATTGTTCAGGTTCATTGGGCTATTTGTCTTTGCTATAAATGACCCCAGACTGCTTTGCTATTTTACATTTGATATCTGATTTTTGTAATTTTTCTCATCGTTTACATGCCATTGGGCTAAGTACTCCCTGTTCTAACTCTTTTCAGTGAGCTCTTTTTTGTTACTTCTAGTTTCCAGCATTTAATCTATTTTGGATTTGTAAAAGCAAATAAACCATGCCTGTTGAGTTCATGTTGTCAAGTAAGTACAAATACCATTTGATTGGGAAATGGAGAGGTTCTGCTATGAGTAATAAGCATGAATGTCTATCTTGTAGTCAGAGGTCTTTGTTTAAATTCTTAGGGGATATTTTAAATTATTCCTGGGTTTCCCAGAAATATTTTCAGTAATTAACATTGTGGAATGGTTGAACCTTAGATACATGAGGTATTATCATGCTATATTTTTATTGGAATCATAGAATTTAAAAATGTCAACCCAGCCCTGACTAGTGTGGCTCAGTGGGTTGGGCATTCTCTTGCAAACCAAAAGGTTGCCAGTTTGATTCCTGGTCAGGGCACATGCCTGGGATGCTGGTCAGGTCCCCAGTTAGGGATGTGCGAGAGGCAAACAATTGATGTTTCTCTCTCACACTGCTATTTCTCTCCCTCTCTTACTCCTTCCCTTCCCCTTTTTAAAAATAAATAAGTAAAATCTTTTTAAAAACTAAAAATAAAAATGACATCCCAGCCCTTTGTTTTGGCTGGGTTCTGAATTAGGATTTGGAGTTTTAAACCTAGTCCCTCTTTTATGTAATCATTTAATAAAACCAAAATCATTTTACTGCCTCACATAGCATGTGGAATACATATTTAAAGTTACAAAAATAATTCAATGACCTACTGTTTGGCAGTGTTCTTATTCAATGGAAAGTCCTCTGATTCAACTGCTTCTACAGAGCCCTGGCTGGTGTGGCTTGGTGGACTGAGCACCAGCCGGCCAACCAAAGAGTCGCTAGTTCAATTCTCAGTCAGTGCGCATGCCTGGGTTGTGGGCTGGGTCCCCAGTTGGGGACATGTAAGGAGCTACTGATCGATGTTATCTCTCATACATTGATGTTTCTCTCCCTCTCTTTCTCCCTCCCTTCCCCTCTCTCTAAAAGTAAATAAATAAAATCTTAAAAAAAAATGGCTTGTACTGAAATGCATTTTGAGTGCATTTAACAGTGAGATTATAATTTTGAGATATTATAAGAAATGGCCTCACAAAACCCATCATATTCACTGTACAGATGTTTGACAGACACTTATAACACAGCATCTTCCTGAGGGGAAGTTCCTTTTAGGTATCACATGTAGGACTCTGAGCCTGTCTGAATACCTGATTCTTCTTATCTGGTGGATGCAGTGATTCATGGCATTTTCGCCCTTGCACTGAATGGCAGAAAGCTCAAGGCCCAGGTAGTTGTAATTGCACAGGACCTCATGGCATACATGCATTTTTAAGTTTTAAATTCACCCCTGATTTCATTGTAATTCCTACACTAACTTTTCTCTTTAAAAAAATTTTTTAAATGTTTATTTATTTTTAGAGACAGAGAGGAATGGAAAGAGAAAGAGAGGGAGAGAAACATCAATATGTGAGCGAATCATCGATTGGTTGCCTCTTGCATTGCCTCTCACACTGGCGACCTGGCCTGCAACCCAGGCCTGTGCACGGACTGGGAATCGAATCTCGACCTTTCGGTTCACAGGCTGATGGTTAATCCACTGAGCCACACCAGCCAGGGCTAGTTTTCCTTTTCTTATTTTCTCTTAGCCCTTATTTTCTCATTTACTTTTTAATATTACTGTATTTGAATAAGAGAATATACTTTTTGAAAATACTATCTCCATTGGATATGATCTTGAAATCATATGGATTTTAATATGGAATATGAAATAATTTAATGTGGAATATGAAATAATTTAATATGAAATAAAATGGATTTTATTTAACATCAAACATTTGAGACCTATCCCAAATCACCTACATAATATTAGAGCAGTACCTGGTGGTCTCTACAGGTAAGTATTTAATGCTATTTCGTTCTAAAGAACTTGGTTTTCTGCTCTATTTATTGGTAATGTCAAAATTTAATATGTGAGAATCACATGGGCTGCTGGTTCCAAACACTGCTGGTGACTTTGTAGGTCAGGTGGGGCCTAGGGATCTGCATGTTAAGCTCCCAGATGAGTAGAATCTAAGGTAGGGGGTTCATGGAGCCCCCTGAGAAGCAGTACTGATGTCTATGACAGTTCAAATAACCCCACACATCCCTCCAGACAAATCACTCATTCATTATATAAAAAATGTCCCTGAGACAGCAGTACAGATGTAAATTCCCAAATCTTAGACCGATATTTTGGAAAGGTAAACCTCTCTCTAACCTTTCCCATTTAAATTTTCTTAGGACTTCTACTTCAATATTAAGTGCATCAACCCTACCAACAGGCTATATGGGGTACAATCAAATTACTTCAAAAAAGACTAGAAGATGCGCTCTTTCAAACAGGCATCGCATTTCAGTTATCTTTGTATCTTCACAACCTAATGCCAGGAGTGATACTCGTGATGGGTGTTCCCTCGCTGCAGCATTGGGGCAGCGTCCTTGAGCCCCCTACCAATTTAAAGTGTTTTTCCTTTAAATTGCTGGATTGGGGGAGGTCCAGGGGCCTAGTGAGAAACTGCCAGGGTGCCCAAGGTATTAAGGGGCTTGAGGGGTGGTTACCAACTGATAGAAAAGTATTTCAGTACTTTAAGACCCAGTATGGCCACACTAGCACATGCCAACTAAACAGAAGTCCTTCCTAGACACACTATAAACGTCTTCATATTTTGAACTAAAATAGGGGAGGGGCAGTAGACCATCGCAGCCAACTCCTCAGGGATCCCCGTCACTGGAACTGAGCAGGGAGGGTCTCAGGACCCTCCAGGAACCATGGTGAGAGCTCCCTCTCCTCCCAGCCAAGAGAGTCCATTTATCTCACCTAGTACAGACCTCACATAGGGTAGATGCTCACTGCTGGAACAAGGAACAAATGGGCCCAGTGTCCCAAACTGCTTATTACTTATGTTCTTATTAAATTAGGCCGAACCTGGAACCAGACCTCTGCCACTTTCCCTCCAGCCTCTGCCCATGAATCAACGCATCTGCACTGTGTCCTGTCATGTCCCTCCTGTGGCCAAAATGTGAAAAGAGTTCTGTATCCTTTTCCTTTGAGCAAATTTCAAAGCTGAGGCACTGGACTAAATCATGAGTCCCTGGGCCTCTGCCTGGAACATTCGCTCATTACCTGTGCAGTCCTATGCTTAAACCCGTAGAAAGAGCACCCCCTCCTTATATGACCTCTGGTCTTGAAGGAAATACTCAAGATAACAGCTCAGAGCACCCTCTTGGCACTGCAGTAAATGCAAACATAGGTCGAAGGATGCAATCGGAGCGCCCAGGAGAAGAACAGGAACAGCCCCCTTCCTTCGTTTAACCCCTGTCTCAGCACTAAGTCAAGTTACCGTCCTGGACACTGGGACCAGATGGCAACAAGATAGACACGTCCTTCTGGAGGCTACAGTCACGTGGGAATGAGACACCTGACAAATGACCACACAGTCATTTGTGGTAACAGGGATGGGCGGTGGCTGCTGTGAAAGTGGACAAGTGGACGGGGTGCCAGACAGTGGCAGGGGATGGGTGGCGGTGCAGAGCTGGGCAGGTTCGGCCCCCTGTGAATAGTGATGTTCGAGCTAAATCTGATGGAGGGCAGGAAGAACATACTGGCAAAGACACAGGGTGGCTCCTTTGGGCCTGGAAACTGGTCCAGGTTTGAGCTCATTTTGTCCGAGGCCGTGGGATTCTCCCGGGCCCACTGAGGGTCCAGCATCTCTTCTGTGACAGCCTTGGGCCTCTGAACCAGCCTCCAGAAATGCCCATCTCGATCTTACACATGATTTGCACTTATTCCCTTAGCAGAGCTTTTCACTAACTTAGGTACTTTTGAAAAGACAGCAAACAAGCCACTATAAAAACCTGTAAATGTTTTTGATGTTCCTCTTCCAGAATCTGAATTTTAAATTTATATAATTCATTTGCTTCTTCAAGTGCTTTCTCCACTGCTTGTTTTTGACGTTCATCAGCCTTTGAGAGAAAGAATCCATTTATTTAGTACTATATCAGGTTTTGATGTTTACTGAAAATTAGAAACCACCACAGGGCCTCTGATTCCTTGCTCTGTTCTCATCTCAAACTTCCCCTAGCAAACTGGCTGCCTCGGCCAGGCGCCCTATCACGTCCCCACCCCTGGCCAACACCGCTGTTTCAGCAGTTGTTAGAGAGACCTGTACTGGAGACAGCAGGGATTCCTTTTTAATTTGTCCATGTATTTCTTGCTTAATTTGGCTATCAAAGCAATGTGTGCTCATTACAGAAAATCTGAAAAATACAGAGAAGTAAAAAGATACACAAAGCTAGAAATTACTGAGAAGGGAGGCTGAGTACTACCACCCCAGATCCTGTATCAGGTCTTCAGAAAGAGTTCATGATTTTTTTGGAGAGACTACCCAGAACACTATATTACCTATATTCAAACTGTAGATCACTCACAACAGCATTCTCTTGTATTAGGGTATATAATTAATGATTCACGATCGATGTAAATTTTATTGTCAATAAAGATAGATGACTGCTAAGGTTTTTATATATATTACCCGTTGTACAGGAGTATTTTGGACTTTCACAGTTTGATACCAAGCTTTTGCTGGCACTAATGCTGGACACTTCCAACACTCTCTACTACGATGACTATTTTATTAAGAAAACAAGAAATAACACTCTAGGCACTGTAGCTTGTCCTGCTCTCAAAGAGCATTGGTTCTCTTTAGGTAGTCATCTATATTATTTTATCTATGACTGGAAGAAGTAGGGGCTAGATGATTGAGATTTTGCTTCAGTTAAGGATCTGGGAACTGACTGTGAGCCCCACACACTCAAATGGCCCCCGCAGCCCTCAGAAGTAACACGGACAAGGTATCAAGGACTTTAGAGGAAGGGGAACGAGGAGGAAGGTAAAAAGGAGGGTAACTGTAATAAAGCATTTGGAAAAAACAGGTACATGTTACACACTGCGCAGGTGGATGGTCTACAAATTAGATATTAAGGAACAATACACAATTATCAACAAGGATGCCTTTATTTAAAGTTTTAATCCAATGAGAATAAAGGGAGCAAGTCATCCACACATAGGGGCAATTAGAAGGAATGAAGCTCCTGATGATGCCTGTTTCTTACTAAGCACGTACCATGTGCAGGCACATTGTTTTATTTAACTCTCTCTACCACCTTGTAGAGTGGGCATTATTGCACTTCTTTTACTTTTGAAGAAGCCAAGACTACAGAGCTGAAGAGCTTGCCCAAGGTCCTAAAGGTAGCCAGGATTCAGCGTCAGTTCTGCCTGACTATATTGTTTCACACAAATCCAAAAAAAGTGCAAAGACTGTAAGGGTACATTTAGGTTGATTTGCAACTTTTTACCTGAGCCCACACATTAGCCTCTGCTTTTGCAATTCGTTCTTTGAGTACAGCCTCTTGAAATCGTTCTTCTTTATTCAAAATATCTGCCCCGATATCTGTGTATTTGAAGAGAAATAATGACAAGTTTCCACAGATGTTTCTTGGCTTCCCTTTTTACTATGATCTAGGTATTTATTAGTCATCTAAGGTATGGATAGATCCTTTAGGAGACATTAGTCTTTTCTTTAAAGGTACTGATGAAAGGAGTGTGTTGCTTCCTAATTGACTCAGAGGGAATGCACAGCACTCTTAGGCCTGGATAGTCAGTGATGTGACACCTGGCCACACGGCGGGCGACTGGGGAGGACAGTAGTGGAAAGGAGCACATTTTTGACTCCTGAAGTAGAATAGTTAGTGACTATTCAGGATGATCCAGCTCTGCTCTCCCTGCTCCTCTCTGGGTGTTGGTGTTACCTCCACCCAGTAAACGGCAGCAGAATGCCTTCTTACGGCGCATGCCTTCCTTAGTGTGCAGTTTTTCTTGGGTTTAGCTGCTTTGGTTGTGGAGTTGGGGGAAGTAGTTTAACACTTCTCCGTCAATTACCTAATTTAATTTCCAAATAATAATATTCCCATAATAACACCCTCTCTACCCAAACAAGGAAATAAAAGCCTAGAGCGGCTAGAGGACCACACCGTATCAGCTAGCTAGGGACAGGGTTGGAGCTGGAGCCATGCCCCGAGCTCACTGAGCTGGCACAGGGGTCTCTTCGTCCTCTCCTATCAAAATGTGTTGGGTTGCCAGAGGTGACCTATGACCTGTATGGGGATGATGAGTCCTGTGAGTGTTGAAATCACACAGTGATCTTTTCTTTCCAATCCAAACTACTATAGTTTATCCTTTAGTCCCTTCATTTCTCAGATCTAAAATTTGTTGAATTACTAACTTTTCATGTGATTAGGTCTTGATGATCAACTTCCTAAAATCACAAAGCATACCTCACTACTGCAGTGTCTCTCTCATCATGCCTAGCTCGGCAACAAGCACAGATAAGACACTGCAAACTCATGTGTTTGTCTGCCCAGCATCTCCTGTCTCCCTCAGATAACAGGACCCATTTCTCCCAAGAATTGCCCTCTCTCGCTTCAGGACAGCTACATGATAAATTTCATAAAACTATATATCAAGGTCGGGGATGGGGAGTGAATGTAAGGCCTGTACCTGAGTTAATTGTATTTCTAATACCAATTTCCTTGTTTTGACAATGGACTAGTCTAGTTCTGTGAGATATCAATAAGAGAATCTGAACAAGGGTACATGGGAACTCTGTTCTATTTTTAAAACTTCTGAGTCTTTAACTATTTCCAAATAAAAAGCTATTAAAATATGTTAAAAAAAATAAAAATGACATATGCTGAGGCTTGATTCTGAAGGTTCTAATTTAGCAGGTCTATGTTGGATTAGTATGAAATCCGATGAGTCTGTATTTGGATATTTGCAGTAAAAAAAGTTTTTTAAAAGCTCTGCGTTACCCCGCAGGCTTGAGGACTGCTGCTCTCTGCGGCACTCATTAGCATTCATATAGACATTGTGACATGCCTTTGAGTTTACTTATAAAGAACAGAGAATATTGACTCTTTTGACTTAAAATAGTCCATGACAAATACAGGTCATTGAATATAAAAGATTAATTTCTAACTAGTTAATTTGTCCACTTAATGTTTGGATTCAGATATCCTGGAAGGTATAAGGAATCAATCAATAAAGGCTTATCTAAGAATGGATATCCACTGTCCTGGATGTAAAAAGTCAAATCATTTTAGGGATTATAGTTAATAAGTCATATTAGACATTTACTGTAGTTAAAACCAGTTTTGTGGTTGATATTTTTAGAGGATGATTCCAATTTTATCTCCCCCTTCATTTTAGTTCTTTTGAAACACCCTCCATTCTCTAGCTTTTTTATTTGCAAAGCTCAGGAGTGAAATTAAATCACCGCTAGTTTACCAAGTTAAAGGAAGAGAAGATCAGAGGAGCATTTGAGAGTCCTTAGGAAAATATTACTAAGGCTCAACGTCAGACTGAAAATTCTAATGAGCACAAGAAAAGGAAACCTGTTACAATTTAATTTGCTTGTTACAGGTGTGTATGTAATAAATATTCTCATGTTATCTGTATCTACTTTTATGTCTCTAGCTACTAATATAGGTTATAGTTTCTTTTACCCATTTGCTAAGGTCGTAGGGGTATATTTCCTCTCCTGTGAGTATGGAAGGTGCCCAAGGACAAAAAGAGCTCTTACTTACTATTATGGCCAGGCTTTTCAAGAGGCACAAATTCAGAGTGGGGCAAAAGTGGTTTTACAGTTGTTTGTACAATAATTAATACATAATAATACAAGAATAAACTGTTTCATGTACTCACAACTGTAAACCTACTTTTGCTCCACCCAGTATTTCTTTAAAGCCTCATAATAAACCTGCAATATTTATTAACATCCCTATTTACATGCAGGTTTACAGACGGAGAGGCCAAGTGTCCTGTTCAAAGTACACAAAGGGTAAGTGGAGAAGCTGGATTTCAACCCATATTCTCATGACCGACAGACACCCCTGTCAGTCAAGCAGCTTTGATCAGGAAAGCTGATAGAAGTCTCTATAACAGGAAGAAACACATACAATGCTATGAAACATTACAACAAAGGAAAATAGTAAAGTCACTTACCCAGTATATCCTTGTGAGTGTAAAAGCGTGTCTTAAATGGCTTGTACTGATGGATCCGTTTGAAGGTTTCCCCTAAAGGGGCTGGTGGAATAACTTTATTACAAACAGCACAGCAAACGAAGTTTGTGTAACTTGAATTTCTGATCATAATTAAATTTAAGACGTCTTTTACTATGTACAGTTAAAATACTCTTAGGAGCATAAAAAGTAGTTTTGGGAAAAGCTAGATGTTTAAGAAAGCTGGTAGAGAGGTCAAAGTTTTAGGACAATGCTAGAGGCTGGTAAGGATTAAGTGATTCACCATGACTAGGTAGTGGTTATGTGCCTAATGTTAAAGAATGTTACTGAAAGCCTCTGCCATGTAAGCTATGGGCACTGGGGGAAGATTTAAGCAGTTGCTCCCTCCTAGACACTAACATTAAATTGTTAACTTACTTAGCAACTGTTGCTAGGTAAGACAAGCTTTGCTCATAAAAGCAACTAGAAATGACAAAAGTATAGCATGGTACAGCCTTTCAGTATTAGTTTCTTATTGCTGTTGTAACAAATTACCACATATTTAGTGGTTTAAAACAACACATATTTATTCTCTTGTGGTTCTGGAGATCAGGAGTCCAAAATAAGTTTTGTGGACCTAAAATTAGGGTGTCAGCAGGGCTATAGGGCTGAATATTTCCTTGTCTTTTCCAGCTTCTATAGATTACCCACATTCCTTGGCTTAAGGCCTCTCGTCCTATAGCCTTTTCTCCCCCTGCTTGAACGTTGACATTGCTTCTTCCTCTTCCTGCCTCCCACTTGAGGCTCTGTGATTACAGCAGGCCTACTCATATAATAAAGGATAATCTCCACCTCTCAAAATTCTTAACTTAACCCTATCTGCGGAGTCCCTGCAGGAAAATGGGAGCATTATTCCGCCCACGAGACTTCCTTTTAAATGGTTTACTTAAGAGTTGAATCATTTTAGGGCAGCAAAGGTTATCTATCAATGTGGTTTCGATGCCATCGCAGTAAAACTGGGAAATATCAGAGTATTCTAAAGAAAAAAAATTACTTTTATTAAATCAGCACTCAAAATTACTAAGCCTGGGTTTTAAAGTCACGTAGTTAAATAATTTGTTGTCCTTGTTTACAATGGAAAGCCCTGCTTGCAGAGAACCCCGCCTGGTACCTGATAGAGTGGAACAGACTCGTCACCCTATAAAAGATAAGGCTATAAACCAATAAATAATTTCAATGCTTGCTTCAGGAAAGTCTTGAAAACCCATTTGTCAACGGCGTACTCCTCTTGGGAAATTGCTCCTCTAACAGAAGAGATTAATTCTCTGGGCAAAAAGGTCATTTGCTGCTTATTAACAGGTATCTTACCAAGACCTGGTTCAAGCCTAACCTGTTACTGAATTTTGCCCAGCCTCTGCCAGATTCCCACATTAAAAGACCTTCTTTTAACTACTTGGACCCACACTCCAAAATGCTGTCAATATCTTGCCCTGACCATCCCTTTCTTGGACACAGCTGACTTTGGCAAAGTGGCATTTTTCCTTAGAGAATGAATGAAAACATCAACACAGAGCCAGGTGGCCTTTGACAGTCTACACACAGGCTGTGCTATAACTTGTAACCACCCTGTAAAAAGGATCACAGGTATGTCCTTATTTCTAAAATTCAATGTGATTTTTCCCCTGTACTATTTTTCTTTCATAGTCATGTGCCTCAACGAATCTACCGTTATCCCGGTTTATTCATATAGACGGCACATGGCTTAAGGCTGGACTCTGTACAGTTCCTGCTACCCTCCTGTGCTGCAATAATCTCTCTTTTTTTAAATTCTCACCCGAGGATATGTTTACTGATCTTAGAAAGAGCGGAAGCAGATATGGAGGGAGAAGGGGGGAAAGAAGGAGGGAGTTGAGGGGGAGGGAGAGAGAGATCAATGTGAGGGAGAAACGTCAATCAGTTGCCTCTTGTATGTGCTCCAAGTGGGGACTGAACCTGCAACTTGGGTATGTGCCCTGACCGGTAATCGAACCCATAACCTTTTGATGTACAGAATGATGCTCTGGCTAACTGAGCCACCCAGCCAGGGCTGTGATAATCTTTTTTTTTTTTTTTTTGGTGATAATCTCTTGATAGTTCACCTAATATCTCCCCCACCAAATATCAACTCATTTTGTTGAATACTAGAAGAATTATAAAAGACAACAATGTGACACTAAATGTTAAAACTGAAAAAGAATTCAAGTTCATTAACCAAAGTCCACAGGGAAACCAAAACCAAAAGATAATACTTTAAATTAAAAGACATTTTATATCACCCAAGTGCATTTTCAACTATGTACTATGTAGAGAGACAAAGCAAGAAATATTTAGGGCTCAGTAATAAAGATTTAATTTACTTGTATATAGGTAACTCAATTAGCTAAGCTCCTTAATATTTACAAATCAGACATAATTGCATTTTCATGTATCTTTGCAAAATTACAATAACGTTCTAGAAAGTAAAAACTTACATTATGATGATAAACTCTGTGCAGTTATTATTACGTGGTAATAATAAATGAAACAAAATTTCAGAGATGAGATTTATTACTGAGCCCTAATTACAATGATTCAGAGATTGGGGTAAATATCTAGAAATAAAACAGGTCCAGAACCCTTGTCAGAAAGACTTAAATTATGTAAGGTAAACCCAGGACAGTAAGGAGACTTTCTTATCTATTGAGTAGTTCTACCTTTTAAATAACTGTAAGAACATTTGGTCTTGTGTTTATTATATCACTGTGGCATTAATTTACAAAAACTAAAATAGATTAACAGCTATAGTCAAATAAAAACACCATACCTCAGTATAACGTACTTTTTCTTTTTAAAGAAATACTCCAATTACATTGGATTATTCTCTCATTTAATCTTGGTCTTAGTAGATGAGTGTGAGTATCTTTTCAATTAAAATAAAATTGTGGATGAAAAATAGCTGAAATGGAAAATGGAAAACTAAAATATATGAACCATATGTGACTCTATAAACTATTTGTCTTTAACATTGACGGCAGGTTTTACAATAATTTACAGTAATTTTTTTTTCTTCACAAATATAGGTTCTATGCCCAGGTAAAAAATAAATATTTCTCCTTTGCAAATCAAAACAACTGAACCCTCACAACAATGGCAAATGCACAATTCACCTTAAAATATTAAAAATACCATGCGATTTAACAACATTGGGTACGTTTATTACATAGAATTAACAAAAATAACTTTCACTGTCATGGCACTTGTACAAGAGACCTTAATTTAAAAAAATACATTGAGAAACTTTCTGTGGAAAGAGAATGAGATAATGGCTGCAGCTCTGAAAATGCAAAGTTTACTACAGTGGTTTGGTTGCAACTGCACAAGAAACATGATACTGTGTATTCATAAAGTCTATCATTTAATGGTTCCAGAGCCCTTAACATAGCTCAATCCATAGTAACCAGCACTGTTAATCCCATTTAGATGTTTTCCTCCTCATATAGCTGTGTCCCTCACTATCAATAGCTTCATAGAGTTCCATTTTATTCTCCTGTGTTGCATGTAGATAACCAATATAAGCCACGCATAGCGAAAGGGTTATCAATCCGAAAGCCATTACAGGTTTGTTCTGTCAAAAGAAAAAAAAAATTACAAAACCTCATTAAGTAAGACTAATAATTTGAGGAGACCGAAATACCTGTTGCATTTTCCTCTTGACAAACTAATTCTTGATTACCCCACGAGCGTTCATATGATATTTTCAACTATAATTTATCTAGTTCTTTATTTATTAACTCCTGATTATTTAGAGATTCTAGAAGACTCTTGCATCTCCTCTCCAGTCTTTCTTCTCTCTGCAGCCTGGACACTCCACCTGCAGGAAGGAGACAGCTGGCAAAGGGGCAGAGGAGACAGGCGGTGTGGAAAGTGGTCCGGTGCTCAGGTTTTCAGTGTTATTTGTGTAACGTGGAGAAGTTGCTTGACTTCATTAAATTAGCTGATTTTATTAGGAAGTGAGGAATAAAGTATACACGCCCTTTTTCTCCCCTGAGTTCATGAAAAACTGGCAAAAAGTCTTTTATGTCACATGTAAGGTACAGCAAAAATAGCAATATATACACTCTTCTCTGGGAACCTATTCTATCACTTCAAGAAATTTAGTGCCTGGAACAGATATGATGCTGTTATAATAACCTTGGTTTTCTTGCTGGAAAATCCAAGACCTTGAAAGGCAAAGCAATTAGCTTTGAATTAAAAAAAAAAAAGTTTTTAAATGTAGGAAAGATGTTCACAACTCCATAGAAGTGTTTATCTTTATGACTGTAACTCAGACCCTCCTTTTTGAGTGTTCACACTCAGCTGATGGGCCTTTCTTAGGTCAGTGTGAGTGCAGAGTTGCAATAAAAGTTTCATAATAATACCTCATCAAACATTAAAAATTTCCTTCTAACTAATACAACTATAAAAATTTTAAATAGGAATTTGAGAAGTTGATCCATGAAAGTACAACCATTTTCCATTAAAGCTTAAATGCCCTTAAAATAATTTGTTTTACATGTGTATTTAGTGAAACAGCATTTAAGATTTTCCTTCCACCTGCATTTATTCAGAGATCTTAATAGTCAACATAAAATTTCCATGACAAAATTAAATGTCATAGGAAAAGAAGAACTTTCTGATAGCCTACTTAAATTAAACGTAAAGTCTTATCCTGTGTATATTTCTTACAGGTTTAATGAAGAGCTCTGGATTCACAGCTCGAAATAAAGTTGTCGTCTGGACCCCTCTGAGCCCTGGGTTTCGATAGTCTTTCTCTTTGGGTGGTTCATTTTTAAAGGCTGGAGGCTCAGGTGCTGAAGACATCTTGACTAATGATGATTTATTACCTAAAAATAAAATAAGAGATTTTTTTCCTTCGTGATTGTTTTTTTGATAATGCTCTTTTAAAAAACTAATTTTTTCTTAATTCCAGTCTAGGACATTTATAAATTTAGGGATCACCTACTACACTATACAGGGTGGGGCAAAAGTAGCTTTACAGTTGTTTGTATGGAAAACAATATAATAATTAATAAGAATAAACTGTTTTTTATGTACTCACAACAAAGAGGATTTTTCATACCTGTCTATAAAAAAAGAATTAAACTAAGCTACCTTTACTTCATCTGTCCCTCCCTGGTAAAAAGTTCTGTACTTTTTTCTCTTCTCCAGCCTATTGTGAAGGAAATATATGATGGGAAAAGGAGGCAGCAGAGATGAAGGACCTGCCTCTCTGCATAACTCCACGAGGGGCATTCATACCTCAGAATGTGAGAGAGAACGGCGCCGGCACTGGAATTAACACACAATTTGCAAGCCTGTACAAGACGGTCCATTACAGTCAGGACTGATTGTTTCTGAATGATTTTTTTCTCCTTCAGTAAAATTCTTGTTTATAGGGATGATCCGGAATGTATTTCACAACTGACATTAAACAATTCACTGGCATTAAATTGTCATGACTATCTCCATTATAGTGTACATGAAAACTGGATGATGACACAAAATATGAGTTACTTTGGGGAAAAATTTAATCTTTAGATATTCATTTTTGAAATGAGCATCTCAGTTGAAGATGTATCAAAATAAAATTATCAGAATCATAGACTGTTAGTGAGGAGAAACCTTAGTAATAACCAAAGTCTTTCTTTTAAAAGATGTAGGGAATTATAAAATGGACAAAATATTTTAATCAGATATAAATATGCTTGCTATTTTAGTTTCACATACCACACTATCTTATTATTTAAGAAAATAACTTGAAGCCTGGGGCAGAGAACCTTAAAAATAATTTAAATTAGAATAAACAAATTTGGGATAGAATCCGAGGACTTGATACCTTGAGCAGAATCTAGCATATCCTTAAATTCCAACTTGGCTATTTATAAACTGTATGTTTGAGTAAGTGACAAGCTCTCTGGACCTCAGTTTCCACCTTAATAAAAGGGCTAATATTATCTATTGCACAGAATTACTGTGTGGATTAAATGAGAAAACATTTCTAAAAGAATATGTTCAATAAATGGTAGCTATTGTTATGCTCACCATCTGGACCAACCCCCTTTTTTAAACAAAGAGAAACCTAGACCCAAAGAGAGTGTGCCTTTGGCAATGGGAGAGTGAGGGAATCCTGGTCTCTTAACCTCCTGCCCACCCTATTCCACCACTTCTCCCCACCTTACTCCTAAATCTGCATTTACAAGTTATTTCAAGATTTAAGAAACATAAACTTGTAATCACTTAAACTTTAAAAATGGATTCTGTATTGTTTTTAATGTAAAAAATACTAGTAAGAAGTATCTTCCCATCTCTTGAATTTACTGTACTTGAAGTAAGGAGGTTATGACAATGGCTGCTGCGGATGATCTGCGGGCTGTACACATTATTTGGGTCGCCTCCCCTCCCATACTGTGGTTACCTACACGCCGCTGGCTAGGACTCAAAAGACAGATGCATTCCAAGCCTCAGAAGGAGAAACTGCATTCGGTTGAGATCCTGACATTGCCTTGCAGGGGAAACACAGGACTTCCAAGTTACAAAGAGAGGAATCACAAGTGAAGACAATCACAATATCACTTTCCTTAAACTGTTTGGTGAGCTAGGACACCAAGAAACTGTCCAGGTAATTAGAGGATTCCTAAATAAAGCGAAGGTGTCCAAGGACGGGTCACTGACCGGAGTGCCAGCCTCCTGGTGTGAGAGGCAGGCAATGGGCCCTGGGTGTCAGAGACGTCCGAGGCTTGGCTCGGGGCGCCCCCAGAGTGGCGAGGATTCGGGGTGCTGCCGTGTCACATGTGCCCTGGAGTGAGGCCCGCAAAGGCCCCGAAGGTCAAGAACGAGCTCGCCGTAGACACACCGACCAGACCTCCCCACCCCGTAACTCCCACCACTCACCTGCCGAAGGGTCACCTCCTCTCCGCCTGCGGGAAAGAGGGTCCTAACGCGCCCGCGGGCTCTGCGCCACAGCGGCCCCTACCGCCCGGAGGCTGAGGCTCAGGGACGCGGGGGCTGGAGGGACGGAGCTCCGGCCACCTTCTGGGAACCTCGTGCTGGCCTCAGTGGATTGGTCGACTGGAGTTTGCAAGGGCCGTTTTTTGGTTTCTTAATTTTTTACCTTTAGTTTCCAGCCTCCCAGGTTCAATAATGTTCCAATTTTGTGTGTGTTTGTGTAAGTAAAAGAAGACACCATCTAGAATTACATTATTAATGGAAGGTGAAAGCATTGTGATTTGGGAAAGAAGGCTTAAATCCGGTCTCCTCCTACCCCCATTTTTGGGGCACAGTCACTTAACTGTACAGTTAATACTCTGCCATTCTAGTAGTGCCTTGACATGACAAGATGAAAGCTATGTGTGTAGCTATGGTTGTCATAAGAATAGATATGGCTCTCGGTTTGCAAATACTTTCCTGAGTGAAGTTTGTTGGGATATAAATTATATTAAAGCAAACAGAATAGAATAAACAGGTGCCCAGATCTGGGTATCGACTTATGTAAAGCTTTGGCAAATGGATCTTGGATTTAAAAGTTGTTCTCTCGAGCCAAATTATGTTTGATTTGAGATTTTATTTTTTTATAAATTCATTAATAATCTGGTATTACTAGGCAATCTTCTGACAAAATAAATTGAACTTGAATTAAAAACCTGTTTGTGACATGAAAAATGGCTATTATCCAAAAGTCAGGGTCATTTTTCAGAGTTAACATTTTGAACTTTGATGAAGTCCAAATTATCCATTTTTCTTTATTCTTTGGCTTGTGTTTTTGGTACCAATTCTAAAAAGTCTTTGCCTGGCCCTAGTTTGTGAAGCGTTTCTCCTATGTTCTCTTCTAAAAATGTTATAGTAATATGTTTTACATTTAGCTGTATAATACATTTGAATCAATTTTTTAATAAAGTGTGAGATTTAAGTTTGAGGCTTAATTTTTTTTGTCCAATTGCTGACCATTCATATACTTGTTTTTGCAAAAATAATTATTCATTTGCTTGTTTGGGTTTTCTAACTTGTTCTTACTGAGTTGCATGAGTTCTAAAAAAATATTGGATATGAGTCTCTTTTCAGATGTAGTGCAGATATCTTCTCCCAACCTGTGATTGCTTTTTCGCTCTCTTAATCATATCTTCTGATGAGTAACAGTTCTTAACTTTAATGAAATTAAATTACCAATTCCTTAAAAAATTGAAATTCACTTTCCTAATCCTTATGATTAATTCTCTTTGTATCATGTTAAGAAATCTTTTTCTGCATCAGGGTCATGAAAATATTCTCATCTGTCATCTTCTAGAATCCAAGAATCTTTATTTCTCTTTCCTATTTAGGTCTGTAATCCTTCTAGAGGTATATTTTGTGTAATGTGTGAATTAGGAATTAAGATTCTTTTTTTCCCCATATGGATTTCCAATTGACTATTGAAAAGACCATGCTTCCCCGCACTGTACTGCAGCACCACCACTGTAAAGAACTAAGGACTGTGTACGTGTAGGTTTGCCTCTGGCCTTCTAGGACATTGGCCTATGTAATTGTGAGAGCTGGTCACGTAGGCTCTGTGAGGCTGTCATCTCTTGGTCTGGTGCTGGAGCTTGCGGTCCAAGGCTGGCAGCCAGGAAGGGAAGATCTTGAAGTGGGCTGGAACTCACAGCCATGGGTTGGAAACCCAGAAGAGGAGGCTGAAACCTTTGTTCTTGTTGTCTCTAACCCTGGTGACAGGGGTATCCTGCCAAAGCTCTCAGTTGTAGAGTTAAACACACACCTGACCCAGGAGTCAGGGAAGATGAAGAAGGATGCTGGAGAAGGTAGAGCGATTGCACGTCCAGCTGCTACTTCCCAACCCCTCAGTGCAGCAGCATATCAGCAAAATCTGTTACAGTAGCTGCTGCTTCCCTTTTACCTTCCAAATCTCCCAAGTACCTCCCTTGTTGCCCAACCTAATCAGGAACATATAGGAAAGGAAATTCTAGGAAATGTAGTTCAGCCTAGACAAATGAACACTTTCCATGAAGTTACTTATTATGTCTTTCTTTTCTTTGAGAAAAAGGAAATGGAGCTGTGTTTCTTATAAGATTATTTTCACTGGGTATAGAATTTTACTTTTTCACTTTTTTTTTTTTAGCACTTCCATGTCATTTTATTTTTTTCTGGAGTCTACTGTTAATGTTAATTAATCAGCAACAGTCTTATTTTGTTCTTTGAAAGTAATGCATCTTTTCATCTGGTTGCTCTCATTATGGTGCTCTCTCTGTCTTTGGGTTTCAGTAGTCTGACTATGATGCATCTAAGTATTTTTATTTATATTTAATCCGGCTTGGGATTCATAAAGCTTCTTGGATTTGTCTTCATAACTTTCATATGATTTAGGAGATTCTTTAGCCAAATATTATTTCTTTCAATTTTCTCTCACCTCTCTTTTGGGTGTTCATATTCATATTCATATATTTGTATATTAAAACTTTTTTGTGTTCCAAATGTCTAATTTTTTTTCCATATTTTTCATCCTGTTTTCTCTCTGCACTTCAATCTGGATATTTTTTCCTAACTTCTTTTCCACATTGCTAAATCTCTTTTTAGCTAATGTGAGATAATAAAAAAGGCTGTCTGCAAATCCTGTTATCTCTTTAAATGATGATAGCTTTGTTAAATTTTCTGTAGAGAATAAACAAAATAATCCAATTATTTCTCTAGCATAGCTGTTCAAAATTTTCTTTATTATTAATAATTTAGAATAATTTTTTCTGATTACTTTCTGGTTATTGCATATAAATTGGAGATTATTGTTAATTCAGGGGAAGCCTCCATTAAATTTCTCCATATTTGGAAGAATTATCCAGACTCAAATATCCTTGATACATGAAACCTCATTTCTCCTCTATAATCCACATCCCTCTGGTGTTGGGATTCCTTGGACACATACAGATTGCAATGAAGCCTCAAATCTCTGCATCTTTGATTAAGGCAATGAGCAAGTGGGCACAGAGGGCAATAAGATAATTCTTGGAATCAGAATACCTTGCAATAACTTAACTCTAAACAAAAATGAAGGTAACCACACAAATATATCTCACTAAACCAAAACTAAACCTGGAACGACTTTCCCTTAGCTAGATCCTCAAAATGCCCATGGCCACTCCAACTCTATCCAACAGGAGGCGAAGTGCAATGAAGGAGAAATTGCAGTAGAGAGAGACAGCAGTCTCAATTGGTTATCTTCTCAGTTAAAATATCTTATATTTGCAAACTTTATAGAAAAAAATAACAGTGAGAACACACTGCTGGGCCCCCTCCTCCATGGTCTCGGAGAGGGGCTGTGCAGGTGGCGGGCCTTGACGTTTAAGCTTCATTAACTTTAGGGTAAATCTGCCTTTTGTTTAAATGTTAAAGACCCTCCAAAGAGTTAGCTCATCTGGGATAATCAGACCAAGAAAGGAGAGCTCAGTCCTTGCCCTTTATATAAATTCACGGATACGGTCTTGGAAAGATTCAGCAC